AGAGTTCCCCGCAGGCAGGCTTCGTTACGTTAGCATTAGATGCAGGCGTACATGGAGGGATTGTTTGCATGAGTCATTGAACTGTCACGATTTGGCTGAAGAAAACACCTCTGCAGAGCTCATGAAAATAATCATTGCTCAAGGCAAAGTTGTGTTGTGCTTGTGCAATGGCTTGACACCACTCCAACAACTCTCAAATCTGACGCCAGAGAAAGAAACGCTCACTGTAACGATTGATCTCGGCTCAGTGGTGGTTGTAGATCACATGCTGTATTTCATCTTGCTCGTGTTTATGGCAGCGTCTGTGATCCGCATTTCTGATCATCACTTTACATCCATTTCAAACATGACTCGCCGTGGGAGAACTCATGAACTCGTCTTCAGTTTGTGAAAGTCCCATTAGTGAACATGAGTTAATGTATTAACTAACAATGAGCATTACATTTAGTTATTCATTGTTCCAAATGTCAGCTCGGGTCCATTAAATAATATTTACAGATACAACTTTTAATATAATAATGTATTAAAACTAAGCTTAATAAATGTTTTAGAACTATTTTTCATCGTAAGTTCAAGTTAATTAATGTAGTTAACTAACAAAAAAGAACAGTTTTCTATATGAATATATTGAAAATAAACAAATGACCTGTCTAACCCAAGTATTTTAAAGAAACTGTTAAAAACGCATCTTTTTGTCCACACTAGACATATTAATAGTCACACTAATATCAACAAAAACAAAAACACAGCCCTTACAGTGTGTCCAACTGCTTCTATTGTCTGCTAAATTATTACATGTAAAGTGTCATTTATTCCTGTGATCAAAGCTGACTTTATCATCATTACTCCAGTCTCCAGTAGGGTTGGGTATCGTTCGAATTTGAACGATTCTGATTCCGATTCCGATTCCTTGTTTCGATTCCGGTTCCTAACGATTCTCGATTCCGATTCTTTTAAGAGGCAGGGTCAAAAAAGTTTAGCTTACCTTGCTAACCAACGGCCTTTCTGAAGGAAATAATCCTTCTGTAAAAATACTCCTTTTGTCACAATTTTTGCATTTTGCCGAGATTTCGTTATTTTTAGAAAAGTGAAGCCACACTTTGGACCGCCGACGTAAGCTACTCATGTTCGACTCGCGCGGTTATGCCAACACTTCCGGTAGACGCTTCTTCGTTGGTGTTGTTCAGCGGTTTCTTCTTCCGCTCGGCGGACTGTGAATATCGAAACTAGGAATCGAAATTTTAACTTTTGAACGATTCCGGGAAAAACGAAAAGTTAGTCTCGGTTCCAATCGATACTCGATTCTCGATACCCAACCCTAGTCTTCAGTGTCACATGACCCTTCAGAAATCACTGATGATCAAGACACATTTATGATTATCATCAGGGAAACCATAATGCAGTTTTTTTGATGAACAAAAAAGTTTGAAGAACTGTATTTGAAATAGAAAAGATTGATTAATTTAAATGTATTAAAAAATGCTGGGTTGTTTCAACCGAAAATTTGGGTCAAATGTGGACAAACCCAAATGTTGGGTTAAAAAATGTACAGTTGAAAGTGAAAGTTGAAGTTAAAATTTTAAATGACATTTTTAACCCAACATTTGAGCCAAATTTGGGTTGAAACAACTCAGCATTTTTTTAGAGTGTAAAAGTATTAATTTCATTAAAAACACTTTTGAACGGCAGTGAACCACTGTAGAACTTCTAACGAGGCACCAAACTAAATATTTGATATGATTGGATATGATATCAACTTTTTCTGGCTGTCTGCTCCAGTATTTGCTACACACAGAAAAGATAAAGATGAATAATTATCGTGTTTAGATCATCATTAAAGTCCACTTTTGCCTGAACACAGCCGTTTGTTGCACTCAGGTCTGGTGTGTCAAGACCCTTTATCACGACAGCAGTCAAGAGTGAAGAATCCTACCCAGAAGCCTCAGGTAAACACACACTTTACCTCATTCATACAGTTGTCCTTGTTTAGGATATACACCCGAGCAACACATGAGTATTAGGCCAGTCATGATGATTATCATAAAACGGTTAGTTCCAGTCTTTGATTCGGATTGGTCAATAGCGATGTTTTATAATGAATAAAGCTAGTCAGTTGCGTCTTGCTTCTCTGTGTTTACAACAAGTTTCAGTCCTTAAAATATAAATATAAAATATTTCTACTGACTGACTCACTTTGTTGCCATCTAACGGCGAAATAATGTAACTTCTGTTGGTGTTCACGGTCAGGGACTATTTTTTCCAGCGGAAGGAAGGCTTTTAGTGATTTTACGTATTTTTGACTTTAATATTTGTATTGTGTGTATTCGAGGTACTCGAGGCAAGTGCTGTATGGTGAATAACAATGCCCTTCAGCCGTGGCTCATTCCCGATACAGCACAGACTCTCAAATCTTATTACTTACTTAAACAACCTGGTTTTGTTTTAATAATAATAATAATAATAATAATAAGAAAAACCCTCATGTTTCATAATTTAGGTGTGTCTGCGCAGTCAGTAGGAATAGATTGCACTAATCTAACTAGAATGATCTCTCTCATTGTACACTTTCTAGTCTATGATTATTATTTTCTAAAGATGTTAGAAACCTGATGATGCCACTGTGACCCCCAGGGGTCAACAGACTTCATCGATTATGAGATTGATTTGTACTGTGGCTGGACTCAATTACGCTATACATACTTGAAATCTGACCCACAATTCCCTTCACTTAGACCCAGACAAATTTGTTTTCAGGTTTTTGATCAAAAGGTTTATAAGATTACTAGGGCTGTGCAAAAATTAATTGCGATTAATCGCATCCAAAATAAAAGTCTGTGTTTACATAATATATTTGTGTGTGCTGTATATAATTATTTTGTATATAAATACACACACATGCATGTATATATTTAAGAAAATGTGTTATTCATATATAAAATATTTATATTTATATAATATAGATTATGTATTTTTTATATATATACAGAATTCTTAAATATATACATGCATGCATAGGTATTTATATATACAAAATAATTATATACAGCACACACAAATATATTATGTAAACACAGACTTTTATTTTGGATGCGATTAATCGCAATTAATTTTTGCACAGCCCTAAAGATTACTCAACAATCTTTATTTGTATACATTCTCTATGCATGTAAAATTGGATGGAGTTTATCGGATTACTACATTTCCCATGAATCTCTGCTTTTTTCAGCTGTGTCTAAGCTAGACCTAAATTAAGGTATGGCTCACTTATCAATAATCAGTATTTTTGAAAGGATTAGTAAAAGCCTGTTCACACAAAATACGATAACTCATAATGATAACAATAAATATAACATTTTATCAATCATTGTAATTCTATGAGAATAGGGAAGTCCTGTTGGCTTCACTGTCATAGTCATTTATATGGTATAAACTGACATGCCCCAATTTTACAAAGGCAGACAATTTATTTGTTCATTTTTCAAATAGCTTGAATGAATTTGTTGGTCCAGGATCATAAGCTTGAGATGAGCAGAGGCTCGTGAGCTTCACCCTGGCCACTGGATTGTGTTGTTATTGGTTCCAAATGCTTATAATGGACTGGTAATTGTTGGCGCACAGGCCGTTTGGGTGGGACTCCTCAGCAACCCATCAAACTGGCTGGCAAAATTTGAAGCAGCTGTTTCATATCAATATGATGTCTTTGTCATGACACCTTGACATAAACCAATACACAGATCAACGTGTGATCGTCAACCAGTGGATCTCTGAGTGAGTGAGTGGAGGCGGGGCTCATTTGCATATTCATAGAACCACGCATACTAAATGTGGCAAAGGGTGTCGAGTTACATTCAAGGTATTTTAAGACATGAAGACTTTTCTTTCAAGGATAAAAACTTTCAAATGTGTTATTTAATATGAAATATTTAACTTCAGGGGGACTTTTGTATATAGTATAAGCAATATCACACTCGTATCCATGCGATATTGCTCTATATAATGACTATCTACGGCTGAATCACAGCCATAACACCAAATCCATCAAAAGTGAGGCAATTTTATCTTTATAATGAAGTGTTTAATTTTAAAAGCTACATATTTCCAGTGAAATGCACACATTAAGCTCACGATACAGACATGAGCTTTGGAGGGTTTATGAGGTGTGTTGTTGATCGTGTCTGTAGCACAAATGGTGCACGACTGGTTGTGTGTGTAAGTTTAACCCTCAGGTGCTCTTCGTTTCGGAGTCACACTTGTTATCTTCCCGGTCAGAAGTGACCGGACACCTAAAAATTAAATTTCCTCCATCCCAGTAAAACCAATGCAATTTACTTTTGTTCTATAATATTTATTCTTTTTAATTTAGTATTTTGAGACAATTTGATTGAATTCATTAATATTTATGCAATATTTATGGTCTATTTTTGCCATAGAATATATATATATATATTTTTTTCTATATATATATATATATATATTATCTTTTTCAAAAAATTATTAATGCAGTATTTTAGTTTAATATAGAGTCTAGGCCTTCAGAAAAAAATTGAAGAAAATTAGCACCATCTAGTTACAGTATAGAGAAAAAGTGTAGAATCATAGTGTAACTAGATGGCATGTACAGCTCTCTATGGAGAGGCATGTGAATTCCCCAGATGTTTATGAACACATTTTTTTTTTTTTTTTGGATTTGAATATATAGTTGAAACAATCTCAAAAACGATTTCTTATTAAAAAAAATTGTAAAAAAATTAATTAAAAATTGTGAATTTTTGTGTTTTTGTCAATTTCCCATTCATTTCCTATGGGGGTCATTTTTGACCAAAGACCACAAGTGTGACTGTTTTTTTTTAAGACCACTTAGCATCCTCAGATCATGACCTCAATTTTTTTGTGTGTTCACATACCCAATGCCATAAAAATCACCAAGTGCCGTAACATTCGGATGAAGCTGTGATTTTTAAAAATTCAAAACAGAAAATTTTTCGGTCAGAAATGACCGAAGAGCACCTGAGGGTTAATAATTACATCTCTTTCAAACAGCATGTGAAAGCAAAGTTAATCTTATTAATCTTTGTCACGGCGAAATTCAAGCCCTATGACACCATCAATGTTCATCCGGAGCAAATGAAACGAGTGAGTAAAGGGATGTGTGTTTGCAGTGTGTATCTCGCTGTCAGAGATGAGAGAGAGAACGCGCATCTGGTAGTGAGTTTCAGATAATCCAGTATCGATATGTGTCAAAGTCTAAACACTAGATTGAACTTAGTTTGTTATTTCAGATGCCCTTTTAAAAGACTACAATTGAAAAGTGTACATTGTAAAATTCAACCTGCGCTAGTAGTTAGACCCGCTTTAGTAGTAGTAATAGTGATGATGTGTAATATTTCTGTTATGATTCCCTCTGATGCCCAGCGCCAGAGACCACCGTCCTCCAACAGTGCCGAGCCAGAAGCTCAGAGAGAGAAACACGGCGCGAAGCAAGCGGAGAGCACACTGGGCCTGACAGCAGAAGAGGTCAGCATCTCCCTCAGCCCAAATCGTGCAGATATCTGCTCTCTTCTTGGCTGCTCCTTACATATTTGATATTGAACAGCATGATCTGATGTCTCCCCTGGACAGATGAAAGTCCTGCGGAGGGTACAGGAGGAATATGACAGGAGAGGCGGATTTGTTCGGATCTTTCCTACTCCGGACACCTGGGAACATTACAGGTTAGAGACAGAAAGAGGGACGGTTGGCATGTCAGTCGCGAACTGAAGCGACTTACAAAAGCAATTTGTTAAAAAGCAACTTTACAATTCGTTTACATTTGTAAACATCAGTTCTATAGGGTTAGGGTTTGCTTTAGGATTATTTGCATGTAATTATGTAAAGTCTTACCACGTTTATTAGTCAACTTTTACAAAGACATTATTAAAATCAGTATCTAATATTATTTAACAATGAACAGTTGTGTTTGTATTAACTAATGTTAACAAAGATTAATAAATACTAGTGCTGTCAAACGATTAAAATATTTAATCGTGATTAATCGCATTAATGTCATAGTTAACTCGTGATTAATCGCGATTAAATATTTTAATCGTTTGACAGCACTAGTATTTTTTAATCTTTGTTAACATATATATATATATATATATATATTAGTGCTGTCAAACCATTAAATATTTAATCGCGATTAATCGCATTAATGTCATAGTTAACTCGTGATTAATCGCGATTAAATATTTTAATCGTTTGACAGCACTAGTATTTTTTAATCTTTGTTAACATATATATATATATATATATTAGTGCTGTCAAACCATTAAATATTTAATCGCGATTAATCGCATTAATGTCATAGTTAACTCGTGATTAATCGCGATTAAATATTTTAATCGTTTGACAGCACTAGTATTTTTTAATCTTTGTTAACATATATATATATATATATTAGTGCTGTCAAACCATTAAATATTTAATCGTGATTAATCGCATTAATGTCATAGTTAACTCGTGATTAATCGCGATTAAATATTTTAATCGTTTGACAGCACTAGTATTTTTTAATCTTTGTTAACATATATATATATATATATTAGTGCTGTCAAACCATTAAATATTTAATCGCGATTAATCGCATTAATGTCATAGTTAACTCGTGATTAATCGCACATTTTTATCTATTCTAAATGTCTTGATTTCTTTTTGTTACATTATTTTCTCTCTTTTTAATGCTCTTATCAACATGGAAAAGTGGATCGGCTTGCTTTGTGCAAATGCTTTTTATTGAAAACAACATTAGCATATATACTGTGTTCAATTTCACACTAACATGTAGCCTATAAATAATCTCTTACACAATGTAACACTGTCTATCAATAAAAGGGTGAAAGAAATACTGACGAGGCCCTAATATTGGCGAGGAGTATGAGAATTCGCATCATCTGTGTGTGTGTGTGTGTGTGTAATTGGCCATCATCAAGCAGTATTTCAGACTGGACGTGCTGCGATGATGATCGCTCAGTTCACAACGACAAAACACACAGATCACTTTGGTCTTGTCAGTGAATTTGGCAACTTTTAAAAGTAAACTTTCCATTCAGAATCTTATTGGCATCCATTTCGGCGTCTCGTGCTCGTCGTCCACTCAAAACGTAACGTTAACCTACTATTCAAACGAGTGTGTGCGGCGCACCTGTTGGTTTGTTTACGGTCTAGCTAGATCCGCTTGCGCTTTGGTCGACGAAGCAACAAACGAATGTGAAATGAATGGGTTTCATGTCGCATGTCGCGTCATGTTGCAAAAGCATGTGAAAAAAACGACAAAGTTTCCTTGGCCAAAAAGACACATTTAACTGACAGCCCTAATAAATACTGCAACTTATAAAACGGTTAGTTCCAATACTTGAATCTGATTGGTCAATAGCTGTGCTTTATTCATGATAACACACGGCTATGACCACTTCACCCAACGGCTCTGTCTATCACTGCGCAACACTGCGGTTCCTATGTTGTGTTTATGCATATTTTGAGCTTTCATGCATATTACACATTGGTCAGGGACTATTTTTTCCAGCGGAAGGAAGGCTTTTAGTGATTTTACTTCATGAAAGTTGCACTAATACATTTTTTTTACTTTAATATTTGTATTGTGTGGTAACCGTTTTATAAAAGCAATAAGGTACTCGAGGCAAGTGCTGTATGGTGAATAACTCGCTTTGCATCGAGCCTAACAACGCCCTTCAGCCGTGGCTCATTCACGACACAGCACAGCCGTGAGGACCTTATTGCTTACAAATGTAATGCTCATTGTTTAGCTAATGCTAATGGCAACTTATTGTAAAGTGTTACTGAAATTACATGACCCACACGGTTACATCATTATTCATTTACAGCCATGAAATGGTTGTCGTGGTTCAACAGCCATAAACAAAGTTTTGTTACTTAAAATATAATTTCTCATTTTCCTTAAAGGAGTAGTTCACTTTTAAGAAAACTTTTGCTGATAATTTACTCACCCCCATGTCATCCGAGATGTCCATGTCTTACTTTCTTCAGTCGAAAAGAAATGAAGGTTTTTGATGAAAACAGTCCAGGATTTTTCTCCATATAATGGACTTCAAACGGTTCAAGGTCCAAACGAGAGTTTCAGTGCAAACTGTTCAGAGGGCTTTAAACGATTCCAGACGATGAATAAGGGTCTTATCAAGCCAAACGATCATGTATTTAATAAATAAATAACAAAGTTTAAGTTTTATAAGCTCAAATGCTCGCCTTGCTCTGTTCGTGACTCTCCCGTTCGAACTCATTCATCAAAATGAATGAATCTTTTTCCGAGTCAATTGGTTCATTTAACGAATGAAATGAACAAATTGACTCGGAAAAAGAAATTGTTTTCATCAAAAACCTTAATTTCTTGACATGGACATCTCGGATGACATGGGGGTGAGTAAATTATCAGCAAAAGTTTTTTTTAAAAGTGAACTACTCCTTTAAGTTTAGCTTGATGCAATAAAATAACAATCATTGAAATATAAATGAATAAAAACTAGATTAAAAAATAAAAATTCAAAATTTGAGTAAAAGTTATAATAGTATCTCAAAGATACTAAAACAAAGACGGATCACACCTCACTAGTTCATCAAGTGTGTTTCGTCTGTGTAACGGCACGAGGCAGAGGGGATGGCCAACATCGTTCACTTATTAAAGAAATTGACTTGAACGAGTTGTAAATAAAGATTATTACAGTATGTTTTACATGAAAATACTACTTAAAGATTTTGCATAGTAATTATTTGTGAAATTTACTCAATTTTTGAGTAACAATGTTTCAAAGTAATTCCTACACCAATTGTTTTTCAGTGTAGAAAGGATGTTATCATAAATGCCATTGAACACTAGAATGAAATGATGTATAGGTGCACTATTACGCCTCTTGCGTGGGATAGGAAACATCTGCGTTAGATCAGTCCAGATGTGCTTATACCCGGCCAATCAGTGCCAGCGTCAGTCTGTCTTCTCTGAGCGGGGAGGGTTTGCATGAATATGCTCAATATCATGCGTATATCATTCCCTTCACTCATGCATGTGCTCTGCACTCCTGATTGGATCTGCCTGTCGAGTTCATCCTGATCTGCCTCTGACATCATGAAATTAGCTGGACTATTACTGGGGCTTCTACAGGAAATAACTGTATTTTAGTCACGTTTGAAGCTTTTCTCCACTTATAGTGTAATAAATCATTCAAAAAAGCATGACTACAATTCAGAATAACAGTTATGATGTGATCACTCACAAATATCGAGTATTTTCTTTACTATTTTACTATCATACAACTGAAGTAAGTTAATCAAAAGTGTTGTTGAAAATGGAAGCAAACATGAAGACTTAGATTACAAGGGCGGGTGAACAAGCGCGCCGTTATTTGTTGCGTACGTAGTGACGTGTTTGTGTGTGTTCAAGTAGCCAGAAATGCACAGATTCTGCGATACACTGTATTTAATATATCATGGGGCCAGTTGTTCAAAGGTAAGCTGATCGGATTGGATCAAATCTCGAAAATGAGTTGTTCAAAAGGGAAAGATCAGGGAATCCAATCCTAGTTTTAATCTGGATCAAGCCTTCAGTTTGTATTGTTCAAAACTTGTCAGTGGGATTTGGATAACTTTGATCCAAAAAAACAGGATTATCCTGATCCCAACAGGGGGTCGGATTTCAAGGTGGATTTCAGGAAGAAAATGTAGTGAAACTTACAAATTGGTCAAATAATACATTTGTATCATTTAGTGTATATACTTTTATTTACATTTTGCACTTGACTTGTGTAACTGTTCTAACAGTGATAAAGTAGACATAGGCTAACAATTAAGCTATTCAGTAAAAAATAAAATAAAAATGATCTTGTCCTCATTTGTGTTTTGGCTCAAAATAAGAAACGCTTACAGTGACCCCATGTTGGCTCCTCTACCTGTTCCTTACATAGCTGGTAGCCCACATTGTGATATGTTGTCCCATTTAGAGCACTGGTAATCTTGAAAACTGTGTATCTGGATCAGGGTGATCCAGTCCAGTGTTGCTTTGAAAAACCAGCATAAAAGTAAGACGGATTACCTGATCCTGGATAGGAAAAAATGGTATTTCCAAATCCGGATCATTTTGATCCAGATTAAATGTTTTGAACTACTGGCCCCATGAGGATCACGAGTTGCGTATTTGCGCTAAAGCCGCGCAGATTTGGCTTACACGAACTTCCCAGCAAAGTGAGTGAACATAGAAACACGGCGGATTGGCTCGTGATTGGACAGCGTTTCCCGCCAAAGTTCATTTTTACCCACATTTGGCGAGTCGAGTGTTAATCTCAATCCCTGAATGTTGAAATATTTCAGAAATATTGCTGACTTGTGCGTCTCAAGCGCCTCTTTACGCTCGTCCTAACGCCTGTTAGGTGTCCGTGGATTTGCCTGTATTTGGTGTTGAAAATGGAAACGTCTTTAGATGGAAAATCGATTCACTTGTGTCTCAAAAGTACAACAGGATTTTTCACAAAAGCGTCAGCCCAAACACTTCTTTCTCATTGCCTAAAGATGCTTTTAACAGGCGCTCATGAACCATAACACGATAGTGTTGAAACAGCTTGACTCAAAGGGACATTTATGTCTTGAATAAACATTTACTTCACCCAAAATATATTGTTAAATGGCATTGGAAAAT